GCTTGAAGTCTGTAAAATTAAGATCAGTCTTTGACAAACATTCATCTTCCTCAACTCCTTGCTTTGAGGTCTTAACCCTCAACTCTGCATTAATCTCATCAAACAAATGTAAAAACAATAACTGATCAGAAAGTCATCCTTTATAACTCCTCCTAAAATAAACAATCCAGACAAAGATAACCACTGATGTATACAAAAACCATAAGGCAAAAAGTTACTGGAAAGAAGTTATTTGCATGATGTCCAAGTGTCACCTCATATAGTACTTGCTAATTCCAAAGGGATAAAGGTGCCCTTACAGTGGAAATTGCCTTAACCAAGTGATTAAATTTATAATTCCTAACAAAGGGACAACCTGGCATTTATGTCCTTCCTGATGTAATGCAGTACATATCTTTCCTATGGAGTATTATAGCAAAAAAAAAAAAAAAAAAAAGTTTAATCTGAATCTAATTAAGGCTTTAGGCCTAACTTTCAGTTTCCAGAAATGCAAACTTGTTTAACTTGTCCCTCTATCCCCTCCAGAAATGCAAGGGATAGAGGGACAAGTTAGACAAGCCCAAAAGGAAATCAGCAGGCAAGTCTAGAGTGTGGGATATTCTACACAACACAAGGCCTGATGTCTTTAAAATGTCAATTTCATCATAAAATTAAAAGGTGGAAAGGCTGTCTTGGAGTAAAAGAGTAAAGAATTATAATAATCAAACGTAATATGTGAATTTTGGATCCTGGATCTCCTTCAGCCACAACAGTTATTAAAGAGAACTGAACACTAGGAAAATTTGAACATTAACCAATTACCAAACAACATTAAGGAATTACTGTCAATTTTCTCTTACATGACAGCAGTAATGTGGTTTTCTAAAATTTAATTTTATGTTTAAAAAATGCCTGATGAAGTTTTTAGGGGTGAGGTTACCACGTTTACAACTTACTTTCAAATGGTGCATCAATTTTTCTTTATGTTTGAAAATGTATAAATATTTCTGAAAATAAAAAATTGAAATGAGTAGAAAAATAAATTTTAAAAAATTGAAATTGAAAAACAAGTACATTGAAAATTTTATGGTAAAAAATTGAAAGAATTAGAAAAATAAAGATATTTTTCTCTCATTTAATCAATCTAGCCAGAGTTTTTAGTTGAGTCAAAGTAATTTTATTCTTGACAAATATTATCAGTGAAGCAGTATCTAAAGCCTAGGGGGTAGTGCTTTCAGCTGCCATATTTTACCAAATACAGTGGATCCCTGAACAACATGGGTTTGAACTATGCAGGTCCACCTACATGAGGATTTTCTTCCACCTCTGCTACCCATGAGACAATAAGACCAACCCCTCCTCCTCCTCCTCAATGTGAAGATGATGAAGACAAAGACCTTTACGATGATCCACTTCCACTTAACAAATAGTAAATACATTTTCTCTTCCTTATGATGATCTTAATCACATTTTATTTTCTCTAGAGTACTGTAACAATACAGTTTATAATATACGTAACCTACAAAATGTTCATTACTTGACTGTATATGTTATCAGCAAGGCTATTGATAGTTAAGTCTTTGGGGTGTCAAAAATTACACACACATTTTCGACTACATAGGGCTAAGTACTCTTAACCCCAAGTTGTTCAAGGGTCAACTGTAATATCCCAGGGCGCAAATGCAGCCATGCCCTGCTTATTTCATATTTTCGAGTGACTTATGAGCATTTTTAGACTACTGTCATTCGGGATGAAAAAAATCAAGTAGGAGCAAAGGGAAGTATGGAGTAGAAGTCCAACAAACAAATAACAGCTGATGTATTAATTTTAGAAAGAAAAAGAAATTAGGTATGATTCTATTTAGGAACAGTGTACACATTCAGTGGTTTATTTCATAATAAAAGGGTTGAGTACTTCTTATTGTTCATAAACAGGTCTTTCGCATATGACTCCTTAAAACTGATTTATTAAACAGAGAAGGTGAGTAACACCCCATTTCACAGATGAGGAAAATGAGTCTCGGAGAGGCTGTGTACCTTGCCTGAGGTCCCATGGTCAGTATGTGAGCCTGGCCCCCTCACATTTAACTGCTTTCCTCTAGCATGGTCGCTGAGTGGCTGTCTTACTCTGGTGATGTTCACGATTCTGAACTTCAGTTTTCTGCCTAGATAGCCTAAGGCTCAGATGAGAACACGCAGAGGTTCACAATTTGGCTCGAAGGTAAAACCAGGCAACAGATTCCCCTTCCTCCCATCAACATAATCTTGGTGGGGACAGGAGGTGGGAAGGGACAGGAGCCCGGTCTAGGAAGGAGGCACCAGAGGTGTCCTGCACATCTCCCTTCTGGGACACCTCTTCAGACACTATCACCTGTCAGGGTCCCAGGACATGAAGGAACATGGAAAGCTGGGTGTGAGGCAGAGCAACTACTGAAGTAAGTACACACAGAGACTGTGAGAAGCAAAAGCACCATGTGAATGGGTGAGATTGCTTCACTCTGCGTCAAGTCCATGCCCCTCACACTCCTAACAATGCCCAATAGCTGCCTATTTGGAATGGCTTTCCTTAATAAAAGTCTGTAACTGCGGAAATTACTAATTCTGTGGCTTTCATAAAACACAGAGGTCTACCAAATGTTTGCTTTGGCAGATTTTTTTTTTCCTCCCAAAGGGCAGCCCATACAGTCCTGCAATAAAGCAAGCTTTGTTCTAAAGATTTACAGTGTTTTCCCAGTGAAAATTCTAATTGACAGCCATCAGGCAAATAACAATGCATGGCAAAGAGAGCTCTAGTTTCAGCCATTCTTCCAAGATCCGTCTCAAAGAAGCACTCACTGCTTAGGTTTCCTGGACCAGTCTTTAGTGTAGTCTTTATTTGGACACATTATGCTTGGATATTAGAAGTTTATCATTCAAAGCAGTCAAATCTTAAAAATCAAAAGAACTTCAAGGTCAAAGACAAGAAATTTAATTTACTTCCGAGGCTCAGAATTACAGGTCCCTCCACAAAGAATATGCATATGACACAAAAATGCAACCATGCCTTTTCCATGCAAGTGGGGGGAACCCTAAAAAATGAAATGCATAATAAGCTCTTCAGAAAGTTGCATAAGGATATTAAATGCACCGTTATTCAATGGATTCATCACAGGATAAAAGTTCAAATAGCTGAGGGAATGATTTTCATATGAATGTTGGGTGTTGCCAGTCACATACAAGAGCCCATCATGGACACAGAGAATCAAGTGACATCAAGCAAGTATGGGGAGCAGTGAGTGACAAGGTATAGAGAGGGCTGTTCAGATAAGGGACAGACATTACTAGATGCTTTTTCAAAGAAAACTTTGAAGATTTTGTTAGGCTTTCTTCCTGGAACTGTCAAAAGTAGCAATACAATTGTAAATGAGTGGTACTCAGGGGTCACATCACTGCCACTTATAGGCCAGCTGCAAGTGGCTGCCCATGATGGGAAATTAGCATCAAAGAAGGACCCAGAGTTACCGGGCTGACACACAGCCCAATGAAAATACTCTCAAATAAGGTATGACACCCAGCACAGTCACACAAATCAAAACCAAAATAAAAACTGTCTAAAAAGAACAGTAGCAAACAGAAATCTTCCTTCTTTCTGAACCTTCCCGAATCTCTCCCTTTGCCGATGTCCAGTCCCACAGTGAAAATAAGCAAACATTAGGCATTTCCAGTTGGACAATACAGATTAAGGAAAGTCAAGCTGGTGAAAGAGATGGAAAAATAACACAACTTATAATTTACCTAAGCAAAAAGCAGAGAAAGAAGCTTATCCTCCTTTTTCTAAACAAAAAGCAGAGATAGTAACCAAAGGAGAAAAGCGCAGCATGAATGGGCAGGAGCCCCAGACAGGAGTCAGGGGCCTGAATCCTCATGAGGCTGCTATCTACCACAAACTGTTGGTTGATAAGTTCCTTAACCTTCTGACCTTCCAAGTACTTCTCGGTAAGGAAAAAAAATTCATCTAGATCAGCAGTTCTGAAACTGCACTTCTTCGAGCTCTAGGGTTTTATGGAAGTGCCTTCTCTAAGGAAGGAGCAGCAACACGGATTAAGATGAAAAGGGCCCCATGCCACCGCTCAACCGGAATACTTCAGAGCTGATCCATTTCACATTCTTTTTTTTTTTTTAATTTAATTTTATTTATTTTTATATTTATTTTTTTTATTGCATTTTAGGTTTCGGGGTACATGTGAAGAACATGCAAGATTGTTGCATAGGTACACACATGCAGTGTGATTTGCTGCCTTCCTCCCCTTCACCTATATCTGGCACTTCTCACCATGTTATCTCTCCCCAACTCCCCACCCCCCGCTGTCCCTCCCCTATTTCCCCCCAACAGACTCCAGTGTGTGGTGCTCCCCTCCCTGTGTCCATGTGTTCTCATTGTTCAATACCCGCCTATGAGTGAGAACATGTGGTGTTTGATTTTCTGCTCTTGTGTCAGTTTGCTGAGAATAATGGTTTCCAGCTTCATCCATGTCCCTACAAAGGACACAAACTCATCGTTTTTGATGGCTGCATAATCACATTCTGAGAGGTAAGTAAAGCCTTTTGTTTAAAAAGTTCTATTACCATGACAACTGACAGCTAAAATGAATTAAAAACATGAGATCAACATACCTTACAGCTTTCTAATCTTTAGAGATATGTGGTTTCTATGTGCTTGTTTGGAATATTACTTTCAGAATTAACTAGCTGATTGGCTGGTTAATATTGATCCTCAAATCTGTGTAGCAGGTTCTCCTACTTAAAAAATGAGGAATCTGCAACTCAGTTAAAACAAGTAACCCCAAATTATACAGCCCAATAATTAACAAGATTCAAACCCAGAAATGTCTGACATTAAAACCATTAAGCTTGATTCTGTCCTAATAGACAAAGAATAAACTTCACTGTGAAAAACAATTGGTTACCTCATTATTACTGCAATTGTTTTCTCCACGGAACATCAGGTTCTTCAACTGTATTCCCTAAAAGAAAACACTTACCCTGGTGAGCATAAATGAATAGCCACAAGTTCGACCCAACAAGCAAATCTGTTCGGCACAGGAAAGCCCAAAACGTTGACAAAGCCTCCAGGGCAATAATGGTTGTTAAGAACTTTCAAAGCAAACAAAACTCCTAAAAAAGAATAAAGAACACACAAATATCAACAATCCAAATATAGGGGCATCCACATTTACAAAGAAAGCTAATTAAAAGTAAAAATGATTATTCGATTACATCCAGCTTTGTGCTTTAAAACATACCCTATTCCTTACAACCCTGCATTCAGTAGAAAGACGTTAAAGGCAGTCATTCCTTTGATGTTTCTAAATACGGAAGTTCACATTGGTGTTCAGTATGCTACTAAATACATAACACCTAAAATGTGAATAAAATACTAGCAATGGTATTCAATGCCAGTGAATTTTACACTATAAAATAGTTATGCTATATAAATTTTAACTTAATAAAAAATACCAGTAATATGTATTTTTCTAACCTCTATGGAAAAACATGTTAAAGGCAGGGCATATATTCTTTCTTCTCCCATAATTAGACGCATAAGGATAAATCTTGGAAGGAAAGGGAAAGGATGTCAGGAAAAGCAGAAGGAAGGATTAGATTTCCTTGTTTCAGAACTACTTCTCTCCTCCCCTTCACAGTCTAATATTTAGAACACCTAATTTAAATCCTGCTGGCAATTTTGGTCCCATGAAATATCTGTAAAAAAGAACTAGTGAGGAAGAAGATGAGAGACAACACCACACAGCTAATGTTATTCAGACTGGGTTCAAATCCCAGCTCTATCGCCTCCTAGCTGTGCAGCCTTGTGCAGTAACCTCACTTCTCTGGGTCTTGGTTTCCTCAACTATAAAATCAAGACAATCCCTCAACAGGCAGCAGGTGATCAGAAAAAAAATTAAAAATAAAAAAATAAAATCAAGACAATCCCATCTCCACATGGATCTACTGCATAAATGAAATAGGTTAGGTTATGCAGAGTGACTATCATGGCTCCTGCAACATGGCAAGCATGCCATGGCAGGGTGTGGTACATTTATTAATGAAGTCATCAGGAGGCATATGCAGGACAGTTCTCCAGGTGGCATTGGGCCAATGCAGTTCTCCCCCTCCTTTCTCGCCTGTAGTTCACAAGAATAACTGTGGAAATGTGCTGGAAATCCAACACCCTGAGATAAAAAGGAGCTGGCTGAAACAGCCTAGTACTCTCCTCGAACAGGATGTCTTGCAAAGCGTTGCCCAGTGATTCATGTGATTCCCAGGTTTGTACCTGGCTGCCTCTTCGAGGTTCCTTATCTTCATGTAAGGGGCACACACAGTCAAGACCCCAACAGCCCCGGGCAACTTTCTGAGCCTAGAAGGATGGGCTCACAATGAAACCCAGGCTCCTGTTGTCCCTTACTGCCTATCTGTAAATACTAAATCCACTTCATGTAACTTGTTGTATATGAGTGTGCTCGGTCTCATCGGGTGCAGACAAGTTGGTGACCAGAGAGAGAACACTGAGTCCGCTTCATGGACACACTCATCTTTGTAGAGAACTCCCTATTGCAAATACATCTGTGGGTCTTTCTGTGACCCTACCATATGGAGCTGGTACATGTTTCCAATATGATGTCTTTTACAAAACCACCTTCCAGCAGGTCCTAGTGTAGACTGTCAAAGAGTGTATGATGCAGCGTAATATAGAATGCAAAAACTGGTCCCTGTATGTTCCAGCCTCTTCTCCAAGATGCAAGTCCCAGCAGCCCTTGACCACTCAGAATTTGGTCCTCTCACCAACTAGGGACCCACACTTCATAGAATTACAGCAGCCACACCTCTCTTGCTTCCTTTATGCATGCAACCTCAAAATTTCATCTCCCTTACCTGAGAAACCTACAGCACAGGTCCTTTTGAAGTCAGGTTCATCCATAAATTCGGCAACAGCAAATTGCAAGAGCAGGTATACCACTCCAGTCAGTATGGAAAATGTGGTGATAACACAGGCAAACCATCTACTTCCCAATCTTTTTTCTAGATTTATTCCTTTCCAGAGCATGGATGCCATATTGAAATATAAATGCCAATCATCAGCATGGTGAACGGGAGAGAGCAGTAATCGCTGCCAGTCGTTTTGCTGGTAACACTTCTCCACACTAAGGCAGGAGCTATATAGTGATTTCAGAGGATTCAAGAAGAACCAGATGTTGAGGGCCAAAGTTGCTAGGGTGACAGGTGGAATGTTGTTGATCCCAACATGGAAGATTTGAGAGAGGAGAAGAATAAGTCCGGTATTTATCCCTCTTGTCCTCCGCTGCATGGCCAGATATCAGGGAAATAGCTCGGCAACGAGAAAACGTGGTCAAGTGGTCAGGTTTTAGGTATCTGGAAAGATAAATAGACAGCTGAACCTAAAACACAAAATACACGTGAAAAACCATCTTTAAGAATTATTACACTGATAAGATATACTCACTTCAAGATAAATTCCCATGAGGTAAATGCTACTTCTCATTTTAACAGAAATATTTATGTTCAACATCTTCAAGAGTAATATATAAGATGCTGACTGACACCCTTCCTTCATTTTACATTCTGGAATAGAAATTTTATCCCAAAACCCAATGAATCAGTTAATGGACAGGTATGTTTTTCTCTGACAAACATGTCATGAAATTAACTTGACTTCCTTGTATACAAACATGTAACCTCATGAAAAGCCTATAAAGACAGTGTGCAAGTATTTAATGATTTCTACTCAGAATTCTGGCTGGGATTCTTTACCCTCTCTATTTTTTTTAAAAGAAACATTTGATTTTGATATGTTGGAATAAGCTTGCTCCCAAGTTTTTAAACATCAACAAGTTTTAAATACAAACATACATTACCTTTAATCCCAATTTCCATGCTGCCAGATATCAACTGTCGGGACTCTATTTTCACAATAACTTAAGCTTTTAGTTACCTACTACAAGCCAAATCCTGGATTGAAACACAGACCTTGTTTTCAAGAGGCTCGCTTTCCACCAAGAAATAAACCACCAGCTACCACACAATTTTCAAACGCAGTAAGAGACAGAACTCAGAGCACAGGCACACAACGCAGCCTGAAGTGGTGATCTGACTATGGTCTTCAAGGGTGATCTGGGGTTAATGACAATGAGAAGTTCCATGGCCTACAAGCCCACTTCTCCACCCCACTGGACCTGGGCTGGCATTGCGACACGCTTTGGCTAACAGGATGTGGAGGAAGGGATACTACATGAGCTCCCAGCCTACACTTCAAGATGATTTGTAGGCTTCTCTCTCCTGAAACCACGTCAAGCAACCATGTGAACAAGTTTAGGCCAGCCTGCTGGGTAATGTAAGAAAGGCACAGACTCCGGTCACCCTGATGGTCCTGACCACTAGTCAGCTACCTCCCAAGAAGGGAAGCTGTCTAGATGACCACACGTGCGTGAGTCCAGCTGAGCCCAGTCTAATTTGCTGACCCACAAAACAGTGAGCTAGATAAATGGTACTTGGTTTACTTCACTGAGCTTTGGAGTGGTTTGTTAGGCAGCAATTACTAATACAGGAATTACTACCTTTGGGAGTGCTATGGTTTAGGTGTTTATCCCTCCAAAACCTCAATTTTTTTTTTTTTTTTTTTTTTTTTTTTTTTTTTCCCTTTTTTTTTTTTTTTTTTTTTTTTTTTTTTTGCTCTGTCACCTAGGCTGAAGTGTAGTGGCATGATCTAGGCTCACTGCAACCACTAACTCCTGGGTTCAAGTGATTCTTGTGCCTCACACTCCTGAGTAGCTGGGATTACAGGCATGTGCCACCATACTTGGCTAATTTTTGAATTTTTAGTATATATGGAGTTCCACTATGTTGGTCAGGCTGGTCTGGAACTCCTGACCTCAGGTTATCTGTCTGCCTCAGCCTCCCTAGGTGCTGGGATTCTAGGCGTGAGCCACCGCACCGGGCCTCATGTTGAAATCTGATCCCAGTATTGAAAATAGAGCCTAATGGGAGGTGTTTGGGTCATGGGGGAGTATCCCTCATGAAAAGATGAATGCCCTCCCTGAGGTCAGGGGTGAGTGAGTTCTCACCCTTATTAGTTCCTGTCAGCACTGGTTGTTAAAAGAGACTGGCACCTCCCCACTTCCTTTCTTTCTCTCTCACCACATGATCTCTGCACATGTCAGCTCCCCTTTGCCTTCTACTGCAAGTGGAAGTGGCCTAATGCTCCCACCAGATGCTCAATTTTGAACTTTATAGCCAGCAGAACCGTGAGCTAAATAGACCTCTTTTCTTTATAAATTACTCAGATGCAGGTATTTCTTTATAGCAATCCTAAATGGACTCAGACAGGGAGGGACTGGTTTATGCTCATGAAAAGAAGCTAGTAATGGAAGAGATGCAGGCAGAGACACAGACTAAAGATGCAAGAGATTAAAAAAAAAAGAATCAATGCTTGGAGGGAAGAGTCTTTTCCTCTTAACAGAAAAAAAAATTAGGTGTATCTGTGGATATTAAATAGATTAGGGGCAAAATGTTGAAAAGTTCTCATCTAATGGTTTCTGTTTTCTCTATGGAGATTACTTGGCCCCCAACCAAACAGGTAACTCACTCCTGTACCCCAAGGATTCTAACTTGGACTGCACACTGGACAATGCATGAGCTTTAAAGTGAAAAGGGGGCAGGATTCTCTAATTTTCTAGCTCTGTGACTAGGGCAAATCACTTAAACTTTCTGAACTTCAATTTCTTTGCTTTAAGAATCATGAAACCTCCTTCCCAGGATTACTTCAACATGCTTGGAATAAAACAGGTAGAATAAACAGTAGCTACTACTTTCATTTCTATAAAGTAAACTCACTTATGTGAGAAGTAATTCCTTTGCAAATGGTAACATCCTAAAAGACTCAAATGTACTCCTATGACCCCATATGGATTCTTATTATCAACATCACACCAAAGCAATGTCCAGAAAAAAGTTACGCATACATATATGTGTGTGTATGCATACACACACACATAAACACACACACACACACACACACACACAAATTAGCCATATATACACACATGCATGCACACACATATTATTGGCACAACTCCTTGTATTAGCACAACCCAAGCTTCTATATTTTTATTATTGTAGCTCTGAGGAATTCTTATGAGCTAGAAAAGTTAATGAAATTTAAACTGAAATGCTCCCATAACATTGGATAAATGTTATTTATCCAAACACCTCCCATTAGGCTCTATTTCCAATACTGGGGATCAGATTTCAACATGATGCCAGGCGCAGTGGCTCACACCTGTAATCCCAGCATTTTGGGAGGCTGAGGCAGATGGATCACCTGACGTCAGGAGTTCGAGACCAGCCTAACCAACATGGTGAAACCCGGTCTCTACTAACATTTATATTTTTCACATTAGAACTCAAGTCAATGTTCAACTCTCTACCTACTGCAACTTTTTTGCAATTCTCCTAAATTTATCAATATGTGTGTATGCATGTGTGTGTGCACACACATAAATATGTATATTATACATATCAAACATTTATTACCTTTCATAGGAACAATGAAAAAACTGGCCCTGATTATTGATCAATAAATCACCCGCTTAAAAGAAATCACAAAATAAACCATTCAATACCATTGCCACAGTGTCTTATGACACTGGGCTCTATGTAGCAGAAATTCAAAACTAATTACATCTTTGCATCAGAAAAAGCTGCCCCTCAATTAGAATCGTTAGTGATGAAGAGTACAGATAAAAGAACAGAATTCCCAGTCTTACTTCACACCGTGTCCCAGGCTCTGATCACACTTTCCTAAGTTACTTCTGGCCAAATGCAAAGGTGTCTTTCTGTCTGGGTCCCTTCGCACCTCCCAGCTCTCCCCTGTTGACTGCTCCAGCTTCCATGGGACGCCTTGCTTTCCTGAGGCTTCCCTCCTCCTTCCAACCCATTTCTCTGCTGTTCATTTCTGCTCTATCCCTACTCTCTCCTGCACACACTCAAGGGCTTCCACTTTGATGATTTTTATAATTCTTTTTATCAGGATGATTCTCACATTTCTATTTTTCAGCTTTGATTTCTCAGCAGTTTTCAGGGACATAATCTCTGCCTGATGTCTTGCTTTCTGAAAACTGAATTATCCTTTCTTATGGAACAACGGTTCAGCCATTCCTCCTTTCTCTCATCTATGTGATAAATATTTACCAAGTGTCATTTCATTCATCTATTTGATAAATATTTACCAAGTGCACTGGAGGTACAGCAAATAACAAAACACCTATACTCCCAGCCCCTAAATGGCCTACTTCTATTTGATGAAGGAAATAAAAACATTGTCCACAGGAAATCAAAAGAGAAGTAAAATTGTGTGGCTTGACTTCTCAATGAATGCATACTTAATGTGAAAGGAGATATAACCATAGCCAACGTGGTAAGTGCGTAAACAAAGGCCCACTTAGCATGCCAGTGTAGGTAGAACATACGTTTTGAGTTTTAAGTAGCAAAGACAAATCAGTCCTAGTTCATAACAACTGTAGAGTAGTTTCCTTCCTAATCAGTTACCAAGCCAGCCATCCAAGGTGAGGGATGCAACCTGTCACAAGACAACTTAGAAGATCCAACTGATTCATGTAAAGATCAAATCTGTAGCCTGACCATGTGGCCCAGGGAGGCACAGTTCTAGGAACACCAAGGAAGAAAGACCACAATAAGAGAGCACTGACTATAAAATGAATATTGTTAATGTCTTGCCCATCAGATAATGCCCACAGAAATTTTTAGTTAGAGTGCTGCACTACCTGAAAGACCATAGAGGCATCATCAATTATAGCAACTTATCTGTGAACTGAAGACCCGTAAGATCTGTTGGGTTTTGGAAGTGGTTTATGTATTCTAACCTGTATCCAGACGACAAGCCAGTTACCAGAGTTTAAGAAAGGGCAGTCCCTGTGCTCCCCTACCTTACAAACATACCCTCCCGTCAGACTCAGCATGCCCCAAACTGAACAATGAACTGTCCCTTCCACATCAGCTCCTCCTCTCATGCTCACCACCTCAGGATACGGGATCTCCGTCTATCCAGTTGTTCAAGTCAAAGTCGTAAGTCATAGAAAGATCCTTGACATGTCCTTTGACCTTAACCTTCTTACCCTGCTACCCCCAAATCCTATCCATCAAATTTTATTAATTCTTCTAAATACTTTTTATCAATCTACTTCTTTCTAGCTCTAGGGCCACTACTCTAGTCTGGGTCACCATCATAACTTGCCTCATTACTATAAAATCCGACCAACTGACTTCCCTGCTTCTCCTCTGATACCCACTAACTATTTCCACCATGGCTTAGAGTAATCTTGTATAAAACTGAAGTT